CCTTAAGAATACAAACAAAACCCTTCGAAACAAACAAACAAACCAGCAAAACCCACACAAACCCCCCTCAAACAAACAAACACAAACCTCACAAAGCAGCAGTGATTTTAAAGCAAACACTCCTGGAATTGTGTTTCCTCGCCGTGCGCTGGTACAGCAGCAGCCCAGCTACAGAGCAGGCCTCACTGCAGGGTTTCACAGGGGCTGTGAGCGTGGCTGTTCTTGGAAGGGGCTGTGTTTGAGATAAGGGGAGCTCACTGGAAGCAGATGTGGCTGCACGCTGCTCCTGCGGGAGGATTTGATACAACTGACAGGAGTTCGGGGGGACGGGGCTTGGGCCAGGTCTGCGTTAGGTTCTTGTGGTGAGTTTTAGTTAGCTGCTGGAAAGCCCAGGGCGGGCGTGAGGCAGCCGGTGCTCTGTGCAGCAGGGAGGCTCCGCGTTCGTGCCCGTGGTGCTGGGCCGCGCCGCGCTGCGCGCCATGAGCCGCCGGGACGTGCTGGTCAAGCGCTGGCCGCGGCCGCTGCGCTGGCAGTTCTACCGCTCGCTGCTGCCCGACGCCTCCGTCACCGTGTGCCCGTCCTGCTTCCAGGTACCGCCGCGCGGGGAGCCCCTGGGTGGGACAGTGCTGCCCCTGGAATGTGCTCAGCAAATTCCTGAGCGAGTGAACCAGGCCCTGGGCTGGGTGAGAGACGGGGGAACGGCTGCCCTGGGAGACTTGGCCGCAGCTGAGTTGGAGAGGTGGCCCTGACAGCAGGTCAGAACCTCTTGAGCCAACCTTGGCTGGCCAACAGGAGCTGATTTGTGTTTATTTCCTTTTGCTCTCTCTGACTTGCAGCCTGGTCTGGCAAGGAAAACCAGTCAGCGACTGTTGCCTTGTGGTTCAGTCCTGCTCCTGCCTTGCTCAGAAATGGCTTTTTGAAATGCTGGAATTCAGTCATGTTTGCTTACTGACTGCCTAATTGTCCATCCTTTTGCAAAAAAGTAGTTAGCAGTTAGTAGTGCCTTCTCAGCAGCTCTGGCAGAGGCCTGGGAAGTGCTTGCTGCTGTGTTCCAGGCTGGAGCATCCCAGGTGACTGAAACCAAGAGGCCCAGCTCCCTGTGATGGTAGTTCCAGAGAATCTGTGCTATTGAGCAGCCGTTGAACTCAGTTTGCATTTTCTTTGGGCATGGTACAGGCTAACTTGTTTTAAATCTGTTCCTGATTAACAGATGTTTCATACAGAAGACTATGAGCTCCTCATACTCCAGCATAATTGTTGTCCATTCTGTCGGCGGAGAATAGATGAGTCAAACCAATGAAGAAAACCAGTATTTTACCTCAGCAACAGACTCCCCTATTGGCTTGGCAGAACCCTTCTTAGATCTGTAGAGCTTTCTGAATAACTTAGTTACATCATCTTGTTTCATTTTGTATGTAAGAGTGCAACCAAGTTGAAAAATTGTAACTATTTTTTTAAATTAAAACGTCTGTTTTTTGTGAATGTGCTCTGCATTTTCCAGGCAAGCAGCTGAAGTGCCACAGAATTACAGGAACATTTCTAGAATCAAGTTCAGCCTTCAAGTAATTGGTTTTACTCCAGATTGTGCTCCTTAACACACACCAGTTATTGACAGATCTTCAAATAAATGGGACTATTTTTCGCTATTTATTGTCTCAGAATTTGCTGTAATACTCATGCTTCTGATGGGGAATTTTTTTCCCTTTCTATTCCATTTAGATAAGAACAGCATTTAGAGCCCTTCAAACATAACCTGAAGAGTTCCAGTACTCGTGGCACTGGGGGCATCTCGCGCCACCCTGGGGCAGGTGGAGGCTGGATCTGTGTGGAGCTCACCTGGTTGAAGTGCAGCAGGTGAGGCTGTGCACACCTGAGCTCCGTGCTGCTGCCATGAGGGCTGTGCCAAGGGAGTGCTGCTGGGCAGGGTGTCCCCAGCACCGTGTCAGTCCTGAGCCCAGCACGAGCTCACAGAGCATGGGGCAGGAGGCAGAGCTGCTGCTCTCTGCTGCAGCCTCTTGTGGAGGCTGAGACACGGGGGGCATCAGTCCCAGGCAGCACCTGAGCCCCTACAATGGCTCGCTCTGCCTGCAGGACTGGGCAGGAAATAGGAGAGCAAAGGCCAAGAAACTCCTGTGTGGACATAAAGACAGTTTAATAGCTGCAGCACAGCCCTGCGTGCAAGCAAAGCAAAGCAAGAAGGAATTTATTCCCTGCTTCCTGGAGAGCAGGGCTCAGCATGAGTAACTGTCACTCGGGAAGGCAAACACCACAAACACAACATCCTCCCTTCCTCCCCCTTTCCCTGAGCTTTTATTTTGGAGCACAGCATCATCTGGAGTGGCACACCCCTTTGGGCAGCTGTGCCAGGCCTGTCCCTCTGTTCCCAGCCCTGGCCTGGATGGGGGGGACAGGGCGGGCAGGGTGGATCCCGCAGTGCTCTGCCCCAGCTGCACTCCGGTGTGTTCCCAGGTGTGACACCCACTCACAGCACCCTGCACTGCTGGGAGGGAGGTGATCTCCGTGCCAGTGACACCAGTGTACCCCGGGCAGGGGATCTCACCAGGATGGCCACAGGGTCATTCCCAGCAGCAGGCAGATCACACAGGTAACCAGCTTGGCTGGAGCTGCGCAGTGCTGCGTCCCTCGACTTTAATCCAGTGTAAGCTGGGCCCGTGGTGCCATGAGTTCTGTGGTGATGGCAGCCTGTCTGTTCCAGCCTGCCTTCACCCCGAGTGGGAAAGGGCACGAGGAGCTGGCTGAGGTGGTTGGTGCTGGCAGGGCAGCTCCCACGGGAGCAGCACTTTGCACGTGATATGGGATGTCTGTCTGCTCGAGTTCCTCTGGAAAAGGAGACCCTGCAATCACCGCCGAGTTTCCGAGTCCCTCAGCGGTTCCTGACCAAGTTTGCTTGATTTACCACTTTAAAAACATTCTGTTCTAATTACAGCTCGTCTGCTTTCTGACTCAGCTGTCACTGTTTGCAGTGAAGACTCTGCTATTGACATGGATAAACAATGCTGTTTGAGATGGGAGCCAGGGTGGAATTCAGCTCCTTCTGGAACTGAGCTGGCTGTGCAGAGCCAGTGGGAATGAAAAGTTATAAAACTGAAGAGAAAGGGTTTGCTGTGACACAAAGACAAAATGGACCAATGTTTTTTTTAAACAGCTCAGTGAATATAGTCTAGCTTTGAAAAGTGTTTTGGGCTTTTCTGGGCAGAAGCACTCTGCGTGTCTCATCCATACATGATGAAGGGTTCTAGTCCAGGCTGCCCTGTGCCATGGAGCCCAGCTGGCTTCACGCTGAGGAGTCCCTGGAGGTACAAGAGGTCCCAGCACGGCACTTTGGTTGGAAGTTGTGAGCAATTTGCCCCGTTCCTCTATCTCAGCTGCCTGCCTGTGCCACTGCTGCATCCAGTGGTGACGCACGCCAGCCCTAAGCTCTGCACAGCAGCTGCTACCTCAGCAGTGGCTTATTGCATCAGCTTAAAGTGTTTTAGGAAATAAACCCTTAATCCCTGTGTGCCCAGGTACAAGTGTAAAGAGCTGCATTTGCAGTTAGGAAGTGGCACTGCTCTGGCCTTGGAAACAAGTGTGAGAAATTAACTGAGAGGGACTTAGGGTGAACAGAGAGTGTGTGAGGGCCTGGTGTTTTCATGTTAAGGTGAAGGAAGACATTTGGACTGTCCAGAGACTGTGGCCTGCATTGGCTGCCAGCAAGGTCTGCCCTCGTCCATGGTGCCAGCACTTCAGCTCCTTCCACCTTCCCCACTTAGAGGGCAGGTTTCCCAGCTTGGTCTCTGCTCTAAGGAGAGTACAGTGCTTTGTGCTTTTTCCATTAAACTCTATTTCTGAACTAGCTTGCAAGGAACATCAGTGAAAACTAGGCCAGGACTGGAGGAAGTTTATTAAGGCCAAGAGGACATGAACTTCTGCCTACCTTCCACCCATGAGCTCCAGCAGCCCTGGTACATCCTCCTGTACTGGATGAGGCCCTCGTGTTCACCTGCTCCTGGCTGTGAGGAACGCTCAGCTCAGCCCTCAGTGCAGACAAAACAGCAAGGGCAGCTGGGTGCTCAGCTCCCTTCCAGCCTCTGTCAGGGGCAGATCAAAATCTCTCTTTGTGCTCACCTCCTGTAAATTAAAAATTTACAGGAGGTGAGCAAAATTAAGATAACTCAGCTGTGTAACTCAGCTTCTGGTTGGCACAAGGAATGTTTCAAGCACAACTGAGTGCACAGAGCGGCGAGACAGACGGACATAGAGAGCACAGAAGGCTCCAACAATAGCCTTCCCTGTGGAGTTTGATAATTATGCAAGGCTTGAGAAGAGTGAGGGTGTCTGTCAACCAGTATATGAAGCTGAGTGCTGGCTTCAGTTCTGAACATCCCATCAGTGCCCTGGTCCAGCAGCCTTCTCAGCCCCATTGCAGAATGATTCCAGTCCAGGACAGATGGACTAGGTAATTTATTAGCTGTTACCAATGGAGTTGGCATGACCCAAATTGGATCCAAAGGCACAGAGAGGATGGCACAACTGGTAACCTGCAAGTGGGCCAAGTGTTTCATGGTGGTGGTCAAACCTCCACAGCCACATCCTGAGCAGAGAGGTGGCTGGAGCCTGTGGAAGAAGGTTTGGTCATGCTGCCTTGTGCAGCCTGCCACGGGGACTGGCAGTATGTGGGGATGGCTCTCCAGTGGGGACTGGCTGGTCTCACAGATCCAATTCCCCCTGTGAGAGTGGGGCTGGGACACTCCTCTGTCACTGAGGGACCACAGCACGCCTGCCCAGCCAGGCCACCATTTGCAGCCCCCAAACCACAGTCCTGGGGTTTGAGCCACACATGTCCCTCCTGTTAGTGGGGAAGGGAAAGGAAGAGCTCCTGTGCAAGGGAGCTGCTGCCTGGTTTGAGCCCTTCCAAAAGAATGGTGCAGTGCAGAGCTACCTCTTTATATATGTGACCATGAGCCGTGGTCTCCAACAATGACAGTGCTGGGCAGAAACTGGTGTCACCTTAACACCTTCCCAGGAAAGCCAATTACCCTGGGATGATTATGATTAATAATTCTCTAAACCTAATCGTGCTGACACCAGTGCTTGGAGCTTACCTAGGGGCACTTTATAAGAGGTGCCCTGTGGAGGAGAGTGTAACTGGTTCTCCTTGGGGCGACAGTGAAGGCTGAGACGTGGCAGGAGCTCCATTCCAGAGGCAGTTTTCCCCTTGCACAAAAGAACTCCCAGAGTAAGAGCAAAAAGCGCCTCACAAACTGCAGCCATGAACGGGACAGAAGGCCAAGACTTCTACGTGCCCATGTCCAACAAGACCGGGGTGGTGCGGAGCCCCTTCGAGTACCCCCAGTACTACCTGGCTGAGCCTTGGAAGTTCTCGGCGCTGGCTGCCTACATGTTCATGCTGATTCTGCTTGGCTTCCCCATCAACTTCCTCACGCTGTACGTCACCATCCAGCACAAGAAGCTCCGGACACCTCTAAACTACATCCTCCTGAACCTGGCCGTGGCCGACCTCTTCATGGTATTCGGGGGCTTCACGACCACGATGTACACCTCCATGAACGGCTACTTTGTCTTTGGAGTAACAGGGTGCTACATCGAAGGCTTCTTTGCCACACTGGGTGGTAAGTTTTCCAAATATTCAAATGTCTTCTGTCAGAAATTTCCCTGGATTTTAGTAGTGGGAGGGAAAACACAGATGATCTTGGAAAAACATGGTACCTGTAATGTCCTTGACCTGCTGCTGATGTGGACTGAGGGCATTTGCCCTGTTTCTGGGTAGGAGCTGAAGAAAGTGACAAGTGACACTTTTTAAAAAAACCTTTCTTTTGGGAGCCACCTGCTCAGTATCCTGAGAACCACAGTGCAGCAATGGAAACCAGCCAACACCAGATTTTGCAGCTGTTGGATTTGTGCATCTCCTTGGCTCACTTTCTGACTCAAGAGATGACAATTTTGTTCCTCCTATTTTGCAGGGCTGAATCTGCTATTGGCTCTGGTGTGGTGCATGGTGGTACAGGCAAGCAGAGCTGGCTCTCCTCCCCATGCCAGCCTGGTATGGAACCAAACAGATATGAAACAGAAATTGTGTGTCTAAAAATGTCCTCCTCCATTTGTCTCAGCCTTCAGCCACTGCTACTGTTGTAGTGATTTGGCCCTTGTGGCACAAGTTTCCTGGGAAGCTGTGGGTAGTGAGGGGGAGTCCTGGGATGACGGGCACTTGGTGCACATCAGAGTGTGACCACAGGCTTGCAGGTGCAGATGCTGTCTGGGATGAATGGTGGGATCAGCCTTGAATCTCAAAACACTGCAGCAAAGTGGTTCCTGTGGGTCAGCAGTACAGTGAGAAGGGGTCTCACACTGTCCTACCACATCTGCCCTTGACCATTCTTCATTTGTCTTTCTGAACCCTTGTCAGAGATTAAGCTTTGCCAGGGGTTGTTCTCAGGAACACCAGTCTGAGGAGGCCTCATGCTGCCATCAGGGTGGTTTCTTTTCCTGCTCAAAGTCCCTGTGTCCTGTTCTGTCCCTCTCCCTGGTGCAGGTGAAATTGCTCTCTGGTCTCTGGTGGTCCTGGCTATCGAAAGATACGTAGTGGTCTGCAAGCCCATGAGCAACTTCCGCTTCGGGGAGAACCACGCCATCATGGGTGTTGCCTTCTCCTGGATCATGGCCTTGGCGTGTGCAGCTCCCCCACTTTTCGGCTGGTCCAGGTAGGGAGGGCATTGGACCCAGTGTCAGGGGTGTGGGAGCCTGGCTGTGGCTCAGCTGTGGCTTCAGCCAGTCTCCTCTGCTGGGTGCTGACCTGCTGGGCTCACCTTGCAGGTACATCCCCGAGGGCATGCAGTGCTCGTGCGGGATCGACTATTACACTCTGAAGCCAGAGGTCAACAATGAATCTTTTGTCATCTACATGTTTGTGGTTCACTTTATGATCCCGCTGTTAATCATTTTCTTCTGCTATGGGAACCTGGTTTGCACTGTCAAGGAGGTGAGTACCCGCCAGATGCAGCAGCCAGTAGGGCTACCCCTGTCCCCAGTGCTGGGAAGGGACCCACCAGGCTCAAGAATGGTGCCAGGGACAGTCCTCCAGGGGCCAGCCTGGCCATCCATGAAGAGGGGAATAGCAAACTCCAGATGTGCAGCTTGGCTGCTGTGAGCCCTGACCCACTGGCTCCATCGCGTTTCTGCTCCTTCTGCCCGCAGGCTGCCGCCCAGCAGCAGGAGTCTGCCACCACCCAGAAGGCAGAGAAAGAGGTGACTCGCATGGTCATCATCATGGTCATCTCCTTCCTGATCTGCTGGGTCCCCTACGCCAGCGTCGCGTTCTACATCTTCACCAACCAGGGATCAGACTTCGGGCCCATCTTCATGACCATCCCGGCATTCTTTGCCAAGAGCTCGGCCATCTACAACCCTGTGATCTACATCGTAATGAACAAACAGGTAACTGGCAGGGTGCCAGGAAACCCCTCTTTTGTGTTTCTCTTTATAACAGCTGGCAGACAGTTACAGCGTCTCAAGGTGCCAGTGGTCTGGAGCAGGGATTGTTTCCAGGCAATCTAGTCCTGGCACAAGGGAAACTGACAGTGCAGCTCATCCTTGGTGTTGCATAAATCTCACAAATGCAAGGCCATTCCACCTGAAATAATGCAGGTGCTGGGTTGATGGGGGAGCCATGACGGGAGCAGGCAGGGCTGGCAGTAGATGGGGTGGGCAGCAGACAGGGGAAAGGAGACTCCATATAGGCATAGTTCTTCCTGCACCACAGTGCTGCTGGGCCTAAAGACAGTCTGCAGCTAAAGCTGATGGTGTCCAGCTGGCTCACCCTGGGCTTCCCTCTCTCCCAGTTCCGCAACTGCATGATCACAACCCTCTGCTGTGGCAAGAACCCACTGGGTGACGAGGACACATCTGCTGGCAAGACAGAGACCTCCTCCGTCTCCACCAGCCAGGTCTCTCCTGCATAGGCCCCTGGGGTGCACCCTGGCAGCACAAACTTAACCCCACCACTGCCACCACCTGCCCCTGCTTCACCGTGGCCAAGGCCCTGTGGGGCAGGCTCCTCGCTCCTGGCTCTAGGAACCCTGGGAACAAGGCTGAAAATGTGTACACATGTTTTGTAATTAAAATGCAAAGGCTTAGCTCCTCTGGCGTAAATCCATGCATTTGTGTTGACTTGCTGAGACCACATGCCCCTTCTGTGAGTGCAGGCTGGGTCGGAGAGCTCGTGCCTGGGCCATGGCAGAGCTGTCCCTGCCTCCCTCAACCCATCCTAACACCCCAGCCAGGGCACATTCTGCGTCTGCTGCTGCTGGGGCTGGAGCTGGGGCCACTCTCTGGCCCTTTGGTCAGAGATGGATGCCAGCCAGTGCTGCCAGTCGCTCAGCCCCATCACACCCTGTCTGCCCAGAGCACGTTTGGCTGCTGCAAAGTGCCCCGGCTGTGCCAGGTGCTCCCAGCTCTGGCCCTGTCCCATCTGCCAGAAGTCCTGGAGACGCGGATTCGTGCGGGGGGGTGGGACAGACAGCGGTGCCCGGGTGCTGCCTGGCAGGCAGGTGGCACGGCAGGCCCTGCCAGCACGGCACAGCCGTGTGCGGCCGCAGCTCCCGGGGACAGCCCCGTGCTCAGGGCTCCAGCACTGCTGCAGCACCACAGGGATGGTGTTTGCACCCTCAGCAGCAGCAGCAGCTCTGCCCCATGTCCCCCAGCACCCCTGCCCCGCAGTCCTGCCTCTTCCTTAGGCATCTTTGCACCCCTAGGGCCAAGCCCCCTCAAGCCTGCCCATGCTCTCCCCATTTTGGCTGTGGTCAGCTTGGCCCCGGCCCAAGGGAGGTTTTGGGCAGCTCTGGTGCTGCTGAGGCCTGCCGGGCCAGGGCTGATCTCCTCCACGCCGCAGCAGGCAGGACCCAGCAGCATATGGCTCAGCCATGCCGACATATGTTCAGAGCACTACAAGATGGCACATTGCAATTGTAGCGGTGTTCTTCGTTTTTATTTTTAGTTCAGTTATACAAATAAGATGTTTTTCTCACTGTTCAGTGTTATCAACATTTGAAACTATTTTTGTACATTATTATCCTCTCTGATTTCTAATCCTATGCAGCTTTGCAAGGACTAATAGGGAATGTATAGAGCCCATGCGAGTTAAACCCTTAATAAAGAGCAATTTGCAAGTACAATTCTCTCATTATTTTTTTTATCGATACTTCTGCATATTCAGTGAAATCTAAAGATTAGAGTTTTATGAATAATTCAGTGTTTAGGCTGATGTCTGATTCATGCTCTTCAGATCTGGGAGGTGGTTTTGGAGGGAAGAGGAGGAAGGATTCAGTGTTTATTTGCTGTCCGTGAGGCTGTGCTCCACAGGAGTGTGGTGATGCCTGGCACTGTGGTTCTGCCACCCGTGGAGGACCAGCCCTGGCACAAGGCCTGGCCCCAAGCCCCCAGGCTGTCCCCACACTGTGACACCTGGCTGCTGCTGGTGGTGCTGGGGGCAAGCAAGGCTTTGGGACCCTCCTGCCAGTTCAGCCGGGTGCCATTGGCATCACAGAGCTACCACAGAGGTGATGGATGGATCCAGGATGAGGAAATGCACCCAAACCTTCTGTGGTGCCACCCCCAGCAGCTCACTGTGCCCTTCCTGGGGAATTCAGAAATGGACTGAAATGAAGCAATAAACAGGCTGGTGCTGGTCTGGGGAGGAGGAGGGCGTGTGGGGCTCCAGGCCATGGGTCTACCTCCCAGCTCCCTGCTGCAGACCTGGCTCCTACCGGCACCTCAGCCAGCATCCAGCCCCTGGGCTCAAGAGGTGGGTGCAGGCCTTGACAAGGATCTCCATGGGCACTGCTTTTCAGGTGCATTGCTGTGCTCTGCTGAGATGGCCATGAGCCTGTCCTGCCACCATTTAATCCCACTTTACAACTTTCTCATGTTTCCAGCAGACAATGCACACAAAACCCCTGTGAGTCCTGTGTGAAGTGGGCAGTCCCTGCCGTGGGGACATTTGCAGTGGGGACTGTTTCTACACCAAAGAGCCATTGGTGCTTTACCCAGGTTCTCCTCACAAGCACAGGTGCCTGCACGGAGGGGCCATGGAAGTGCTGTGGCTGCCCAAGTCCAGGGCTGGGAGTGCTCTCCCCTGAACATGGGATTCAGTGGGTGGGGGCACATTGTTGTCCTGCTTGGGACACCTGGGGATGCTGGGTGAGAGGTGCTCCTCCTGCCTCTGCTGGCTCACCAAGCAGCTCTTCCTTCTCCTCCTCTCACTTGTGAAATCTTCTCCCCCCACCATTTTCAGAGTCCCATTTCCTTGTGAGGCCATGCTTGGTAAGGGAGACAGCACATCCCACCCTCACCCTGGCAAGGGGTCTGTGTGGGCCCCATGCTCTGGGCTGGTTCCCTGTGCACCCCACAGCAAGTGTGGTCAGCAAGCTGCAATCCCAGCACCCCAACACCCACCCTGCAGCAGATAGACACCTTTTGTCTGCCTGTTCAGGGCACTCACCCTGCAAAGCTCCATCTCTCATCCTTCTCTAAACCCTCTGCCTAGGTGTGCCCCTTTTCCCTCCAGCCCCTCACAAAGCTTTGGCAAAGGTCCTTCAACTTCTAGACCCTGGCTTCCACCAGGGCTTCAACCACAGCAATTAGCAGCTGCCAACCAGCACCTGCAGCCAGGCTGCTCATCAGATAAATTGGATGGAGGTGGGCTGGCTATGGTAGTAGGGTTTGTGCTGCTGTGGGTAGAGGTGCCTGTGACTGCCTGGGTTTGTGTGCTGCCATGGAGCCTGAGCTGGGTAAGGGGTCTGCAAGTGCTGTGGGGTCCCTCAGAGCTGGAGCTTGTCTCATGCTCTGGGCAATGGTGGCTCTGCTCCCTGGGAGGGCTGCAGGGATGAGCAGGGCTGTGGCTGTGTGGCTTCTGGGGGCTGTGAGGCTGCTGGGGGTGTGAGTGTCTCAGAACCGGACTTCAGTCCCAAATGGTCCTTCTTCCATCAGCCAAAGCTGCTGGCATCGTCCCACGCTATCCGGCCCAGCACCCTCCCACCCTGCAGATGGTCAAGGAGGCACTGCGGGCCCACGATGCCAGGAAGGGTGCCTCTGTGGTTGCCATCAAGCGTTTCATCCTGGCCAAGTACCCCACCGTGGACCCCATCCGCCTCAAGTACCTGCTGAAGCAGGCGCTGAGCAAGGGGCTGAGCTGCGGGGACCTGGTGCGGCCCCAAAACTCATCTGCTGTGGGGGCCACGGGCACCTTCAAGGTGAGCAAGGGCTGCTGGAGCCGCTGGGCTGGGGACTGGGGTGCTGGCTGCCCCTGTTGACACCCCTCTCTTGCCTCCAGTTAGCACGCAAGAAACCAGGGCACAAGCAGCAGCTGGGCCAGGCAGATCCTGACAGAGGAGAGGCCCCAAAGCCAGGACAGAAAGGGACCACCACGGACCCCCAGGCCCCCGTGGCAGGAGCACGACCGCGAGGTAAAGGGCTGCGGGTGCTGTGACCGAGCTGACGCTGCCTGGCCTGGCCTGGCCTCATCGCTGCCCTTCCTCCACAGGTGCCACCAAGCAGCAGCCGAAGGCGAAGCCCGTGAAGGTGAGTCAGGGCCAGCACGGGGCTGGGTGGCTCGTGGCACAGCAACACCCTGAGGGGCTCTCCTCTCTTCCCTCCAGGCCCAGCCACGAGCAGCAGAGAAGCCCAGGAGCAATAGAGCGAAGCATCCCCAAACTGCTGACCGGCCCCAGGCTCATGGCCCGGGGCCTTCGGGGCCCCCAAAAGCTGCTGGCCCCCGCCAGGCCCCCCGAAAAGGACACTCAGCACCCAGCACAGCTCGGGCTGCTGAGAACACAGGAGGGAGCGATAGTGACAGCGACAGCTCTGGAAGTGCTGGGGTGAAGGGGCCCCAGAAGGTCCCCCGAGGAAAGAGCAAGGGGAAGGTGCCCAAGAGGGCACAGCAGGACGCCCCCAAGGCACGGGGAGGTCAGGATAAAGCAAAGAAGCCCCGGGTGACTGCAGGAGCTGGGCAGGGGAAGGCCAGGATGAAGAAGGCAGCCCCTGTGGCAGCAGACAGAAAGACTCCATAGGGAACTTGGCCCTGCTTCAGCTGGCCCCAGGCCCTTGGGGTCTGTGCTGGTCTCAGTCCCTAGGACAGGTTTTAACTTTGCGTTCTCCTCATCCTAATAAAGCTTCTTTACTTGCCTCATGAAATTACTGTTATGGGTCCCCGTCCCTGCACTTCCATCCCAGTGCCAGAATCCCTCAGCCCTGTCCTCAGCCTGCACAGCACGGTGGTGAGCTGATGCTGCAGGCAGCTGCCTTGCTGCCTGCCCTCACTGAGAGGTTCTGTCTCTGTCCCCACGTGTCCCCAGCTGTGGTGCCACGGGGCTGTGTGTGTGCAGGATGACAGTGTGCCAAGGTGATGAGCAGGGACCCTGAGACCGTGGGACACAGCCTGGTGACATCCCCAGGAGCAGAGAAGCTCAGGCTTGGCCGGTGCTGCTGTGGAGCCATGGTGCCCACGGGCTGTGTGTGTCCAGCCCTCTGCTGTCCTGGCTGCCCTTGTGCTAATGCCTGGCTGAGCTGGGATTACAGGTGCACCAGGGAGCAGGTCTGGGTGCCTGCCATGGGCAAATGTCTCCCAGCAGAGGTGAAGCAGCCTGTGCTTTAACTACAGTAAGAAGACAGAGGTGTCTTAGGGGCTCAAAAATCAAGTTTGGGGTGTTACTATAGCCTCCAGTGCAGCTCATGCTCTTATTACCAGTCTATGGCACAGTTCCCACCTACAAACTTGCCTTGTGAGCTCCCATGGATCAGTGTATCACACTTCCATTTAATAGCTTCAATTGCCTGAATTCCTCTTGCTCTGCCCAGAGCAGGGCCCTTCTGAAGGTTGTGCTGATCGTGTAAGGGGTTACAGTCCTCCTGGGTGGGAGAAAATAAGTGGAAGTAAAACTCTTTCCAAAGAGGATTTTGTTAATCTCAACTGGCCTTGCCATTGCCCTCCAAGGCTCCTGGCCTTGCTTTGGGGCTTAAGCAAGAGCTGAGCAAACTCGCTTCCCTTAAACTTCAGCCTTTCTGTGCTGATCCATCCTTACTGGAACTGGAACTCGTGTCCCCCCAGGGACAGAGTGGGGAATGTGGCAGCACTAACTGAGCAGAGTTCACTGGATTCTCAGAGGGGGTGGCCTCAGAGCACCACTCACGTGTGGAAATGTCCCCAACAGCATCAGGGAGGGACTGTGTCCTCCCTCTCACCAGCCACCAGGTGTGACATGCAAAGCTCTCCTGCTTTGAGAGAAGCCAAATAATTTAATGGCTCGAATTGGCTTTGCAAGGACTCAACTTCCTAGTGGAAGAAGAAAATCCCTCTGGTGTCTGGAAAGCACAGCTTTTACTAGGGCAGGGGAAGATTTAGCAATGCCGTGGTTATTAGAGGCCCTGTGCCACAGCTGGTGTCGGGGTGCTGCAGCTGCAGACCCGAGTCTGGTGCAGGGAGGCACCCGACAGAGGTGAGGGTGCCTGGCAGCAGCTGCTGCTCTGGGGTTACTGATCTTCGTGTGCCCAGCGCTGGTCAGTTCAGGTGCTGCTGTCCTCATGCTGATTGTCCCCTCCCGTGCCTGCTCCAGGAAGGAACTGGGGCATTGGCTGAGTGTGTGAGGGGTACAAACCTGTTCTTACTCACTGCTGACCCCACACATGGTGTGTCTTGCATGTGCAAAACTTGTCTGTGCAGGTGTCACCCACGTATGTCCTCCCCGTGTGCTTGCAGGAACTGCACTCCACAGGTTCAGCACCTTGTTTTATTACAAAGATAGGCTTTGCCAGGAGTCTGCCACTTCCACTACACAGCAGGTAAGGGCACTACACCCACAACACGTGCCAAAGTTTAAAAATATCTTACAAAGGGCTTGGAGGTTCAAGGCAACACTACAAACCCTCTGCTAAAGTTGTTCCTTTAAATGGTTGTAGCAACTACTTTTTCTTTTTTCTTTTTTTTTTTCTTTTTTTATTTTTTGGCTTTGGAAAAGAATTAAATAATAAAACAATAGCCCCAATACATGGCCCAGCCATAACACCTGGAGGCAAACTCTACTTACTCTTAGCTCACCTGTATCCTTTCCCTGTAATAAACAACATGGGGCTATAGCTCCATGGTCCTTTCCCTGCCTCCAGCCAAGCTCAACATTCTCTGCTACCTTGGTCCTTCTCACCCTGGCCTTTCTTGTGCTGGGCCTGCCTACATCTCTGGCAGCTATTCACAGTTTCTAAAAGACAAAAACATCAAGAAATTTTTGTGAAATCACTTTCAAAATAAAATGTAGCCCAGCTACATTCTTAGAGTTTCTATTCTGAAGCCACATCCTCAGCAAAGACATTGAGACCTCCACAGTGTAAGTACTTTTTCTGTAGTTCTCTTTTAAAAAAACTCTGTTCTTCCCCTTTCCCTCCCCTCCCTCCCCACCTTTTAACATACTGGATAAAGTCTACTGTTTGTTTTAAAATAGATATCTATGTACACATACACAACTCTGATGTTCCGGTTTCTGACAAATGTGGCATTACTGGAAATGATGGAATGGAGACCACCTGTCCATGGCAGTGAATCACCCAGGAGTTTTGGTGGACGAAGTCATCCAATGCCAGAATGCATCCTAGCCAGCTGGATGACCACCAGAGGCTTCCTTGCCCCCTCCTGCAGTGAGGTAGTGACTGTGTTTCTTTCCTGGCAGCTGGAGCAGTGGCTGTGGTGGTCAGCCCTGTGGGCAGGAGCCCTTGCCCGTGCAGGGTGCTGGTTTGAGCACGTGGCTGTGTCCAGCCTCCACGGGGGCCTGTGTGACACCGGAGCGGCCACAGCTCCCCAGGCTGCAGGAGGGAGAACAGGCCACCAGGCTGGGCTGGCAGGGTGGCACGGGGCTGTCTAGTGCCAGGCAAGCTCCATTTGTCTGCCACTGGACCCTCTCAGTGACCCCAGCCTAGCTGGGACAGTCTCCCCCTCAGTTTGCAGCCCTGGGTGCTGGAGATGCTCTGCTGGCCTGTGTCACTGCTGGGCTGGCAGCAGTTGGGCCCTGTCCCTCTGCCCTTAAGGGCTGAAAACAGGCTGGCCATGCAGCCAAGCCCGCTGCCGTGCTGCTCTCAGGTACCAGCCACAGGGCTGGGCCCAAAGCAAGCAGAATAAGCTGCTTTAGGAGACACCTCTGCAGGCCTGGCCTCGTGTTTGGTGATGATCACAGGGAGAGGCAGAGGCAGTGCTGTCAGGTGTTTGGCCTGCGCGTGGCCTGAGGCCGCTGTCAGGGCTGCCAGCAGGCCCAGGGCAGGAGCAGCACCGCTGTCAGGGCTGCCAGCAGGCTCAGGACACGAGCAGCGTCACAGGGCTGAGGTCTGCAGTGCCATGGACACGTGTGGAGCCAGCGTGGTGGGCAGCAGAGGGGCAGGTCCTTCCCCACGCGCTGCGCCACGGCTGGTGGGCTGGTGAGTGCCCACCTCCCCTCTGTGCTCCAGCCACACACGAGAGCCCAGGCAAGGGGGAACAGCCCTTCCATGCTAGCACACACTGGGCTCCCTGCAGCTCCCAAACGGCTGCCTCCATTAGGGATAAAGTGCTTTCACCTTGCCTTAGCTGCTTGGGAAGCAACTGCTTTGTCTCAGCCTCGAGTTCCCTGTGTTGCCCAAGTCTCAGATGGAGGAGTGGTAATGTTTACACATACAGTACAAAAATTAAAAGGCACAAATATACACAGAATGCAGCAGATAGTGAACAGCTGATAAGAGTCCCTGATGTTGGAAAAACAAGTATGTTGGAGGGATGGCGTGGGAGCTCAGGCTATGATGGTCTTTGCTGTCTGTGGTCATTACTCCCTGAGGTGACCCTTCTGCTTTGTGTCTGTTCCAGCCTCTGCAGCCCCGTCCCAAGGAACCACACACAGGGATGCACGGAGTGCTGACAGCTTGGGTGCTGACCAAGGGGAAAGTGGTGAACTGAGCTTGCCACAAGGGTCATGACTCCATTTCTGGCTGGCAAGAGCAAATAAATTATGGGTGCCACAGTGCAGACCAGAAGAGTTTTAGCTGCTCGGAAAGGTGTCTTGTGGCTTCTTGTGAAGTGAGGCAAACTTGTGGGCCAGGCCCACCCCCTCCACAAGGCTGGTTTGAGTATGACCAAGGTATGCCTGCGGCTGAAGGCAGGGTCCCTTGCGGCACTGTGCTGCAAGAAAGGTCACTTCTAGGGCTGCAGCCAGCCTAGGCTTCACTGCAGGACTCATAGATGTTGTCCTCCATGAGAGCAATCACTTGCTCAAATTTGTGCTGGAGCTGGGTGCGCTTTGTCGTGGGGTTTGCGTCCAGGGCGGCCACGATCTGTGGGAGACACAGGCAGGCAGGGTGCTGAGGCAGTGTGGGGTGCCCACCTGCCAGCCCAGCTCACCCCACCAGACCTCTGGAGCCCAAATTCCAGCCAGAGCTCCAAAGGCGAGAGCCCACCCAGCCCCACAGCCCCCATGCTCGCACCCCTGGTACCCCTGCTGTCCTGGGGTCCCTGCTCAGGGCTAGGAGTGGAGTGATACATGACAAAAATGCACTGCTGTAATAGAGCTGAGGGCACAGCACCAGCCCACAGGCTGTAGCAGGAGCCAGCCAGGGCCACTGCCTCAATGGGGTGGGGACAGCAGGCACAAGTTAATTTGGGGGTGACCTTATCTGTATGTTTTGCTCTCCTGAAAAGGTCTGTACATCTGGCAGCCCTTCTTCAGCCCAGCCAAATGCCATTAAGATCAGCTGTGAATAGTCAGCCTTCTCTTCCGAGAAGTTGCCAGCCAAGGGACAGAGAGTAGGTGCATCTGCTTATGCATCTATTACATATGATCTGCAGTTATGCACACCCCAACAATCCTGCTCTGTGGGACTGGATGCAGGTGTCTGCCTGCGGGGTTACTGCAGGGTGGTTCCTCCCTTGCCAGGCAGAGCAGAGCCCACGTGCTGTCAGCCCCACTCACCTGGGAGCGGTATCTCTTGGCGTATTTGTATATCTCAGCCATGGCGACATTGGTGTTGAACTCATTTCGGTATTTCTTTATAAAGACAGAAAAGAGAGGGGACAATATTAGCAGGATGGAGCACGTGAGTTCCAGCACAGCCAGCTGGGACTGACTGTGGTAAAAGCAGGTTGTGCTTGGCTTTATTGGTACAGCTGGATTTTTAAGGAAGGTGTATTTGCTTGCATCAGGATGGGTCTTGGTCTTTTCAAAGCCAGCTGTAAATACCCACATTGGGCAGCACTGCATATCCCTCTGTGCCCAAAGCCATTTCACAGGAGGGGACCATGCAGAAAAATCCTGCTTGGTGCCCAAAGCTAAAACACCCTGGCGAGAAGGTTTGATTTTGAGAAACCTGTGGTGCATCTCTGGCAGGACTCTGATCTGGACTGTGGCTGCCAGCTCTTGAGGCTGGTACCAGGGCTGGCTGCCTGGGACTCAGGGCTGCCCCTGACAGTTGTGCCTGGGAGCCAGCTGGCTGGGTGGCTGCGGGACTGCAAAAATCCTTGTCCAAACTTCCTGGCTTTTTGGCACTGAATTTTGCTCTCAACTCCCAGTGGTGCCAGAGCTAGTTAGGCTCAAGCAAACTCATGGGTCTTTACTGCAGCTCTGGCAGTAATTGAAGATGCTTGGAATTAGGTCAGATGAAGTTTATGTGTGGAAGTTTCAGGAAAAATATCCTTTCTTGTGTGCTCCTTCCAGCATTTAAGCAGTAGCTGATTGCAGCCTATGTGCATCCCCTGCTGTTGCCAGGCTCCAGCAGGACACTGAGCCTGCAGACTCAACCCCATCCTCTCCCCCCGCTTACCCGAGACTCCTCGGCCAGGTGGGCGTTCATCTCCTGCTCACTCAGAGGGGGCATGTCGTGGATTTGCTTGTAGTATCTCTGCACTATCTTCCGGTACTCGGGGATCTCCTTGGCATACAGCAGTTTGTTGGTCGGGGAGTCCTAGGGTGAGACACTGAACTCAGGCACTGGGCTGTTCCCAGCTGCAAACGTTATCCTCTTTTCAGACCAAAGCACCAACACCAGAGAGGAACCACAGCTGCAGCTGGGTGCAGGGGACAGCTTTGCCTTTGGTCCCAGCTGTCACCAGGGAGGACTGTGGTGCCAGACAGCACCGAGGCATGGAACAGCTCATGGCAGAACGGCTGAGACACATCAGGGCTCTGTGGATGGGCA